CTTCAACAATTAATAGTTCCAGGCTGGTAGGCCGCTCGGTACGCGTTCCCGAAGCTCCAGCGCCGGCACGCCGCGCGCTCCGGGCCCCTGTCCGAGGGTGCGCCCGGAGTCCCCTCGCCGCCCGCAGCGCCAGGCCTAAGTGCGCTCCCCGGGCCCCGACGCGCACCTCGCCTCTCTTCCCACAGACGCGGCCTGCGCGGCGGCACTCCTGCACCGGGGACGACAGGAACGGACCCGGGCCGCACAGGGACTGACGCACGCCGGAACGCACCTCCGCACCGAGCCCTCGACTCTGCACTGCGCAGGCGCGCGCCGCCCAGCTTCTCGCCCCACCACACTGCGCAGACGCGCGCCGCCTCGCCTTCCATTCCCCTGCATTGCGCAGACGCAGGCCGCTTGCGTCCCATTACGTCATATCTGGTTGCGCCCACCTCGGAGAATGGAGGGTAGTGGTTTTCCCTGACCCTTCGCGGTTGTGCGCCCAACGCTGTGTCCAGGCCGAACAGCCGGCGCCACGAGAATCCCGTGGACTCGCGCATGCTCCTTGGGGCACGGTCGGTCCTGTTCGTCCCCGATGCGCGCTGCGTTTAACCTTTCTTAGCCACAGCCCGGAGGCGTGGTGCCTGTGGGAGTAGCGGTCACCTACGTTAAACTTGCACTTCCATGAAGTGCGCTTGTTCCTTCACGCTTCTGTGCACCTCGGTTGCCTGTTGCATTGTCCCCCTTTCTCCCGATGTATTAGGCTCTTGCTTCGAGCCCTCCCCACCTCATTTCCCCACCTCGGTCACTGGATCCCTGGCGACCCTGTTAGCGTTTATTTGCGCGCAGTGATTTCACGTGTATTAATTTCTCAAAGTTTATTTTTCTAGGGATCTCAAAGCTCTTGCATCCACAGGATCAGCGCAGAGTTGGGCACATAAATCTAGTAAGCAAGTTTCATTTTAAGAGTATTTTAATATCGATGCCTTTACCAGTTTCAAAAACCGAAGTGATAAGGATTACATTGGACAGATTGGCTCCTATTCATGTTCCCATCCAGTTTCATCTCCACTCCTACAGATAATGTTATATCGGTTTCCTGGGTATCTTTCCAGTATGCAAGCACAAGCAAATAAAATACTGCTATTTTCCTTATTAAGTGAATACTTTAGAGATCATTCCATATAAAAAGAATGCCCTTCTCCTGCCACTGCCGCCCCCAACATTGTGGGCATGTTCCATAGTTTATTTACTGGTGCCCTTCTGATAACGGTTCATTTTTCAGTCATTTTCTGTATGGACAGCACTGTATTGAAAAACCTTATTCGTATGTGCTACTTGTGCAAGTTATAAATGGAGGGTAATTCCCAGAAGTAGTAAATACATTTGAGCAACTCCATACAAATTGAATCACTTAGCACTCTCACCAGTAATATATGACAAACAGTATTTTAAATATCAAATACTAAAAGCAGGCATATTTTCAAGAAATAATGCTATTTTTGTTAATTTATAAAGTGCTTCAATATATTTCATGTGATCCTTACAATGGTGGTGAGAGTGGATTTTATTTTAAAATTATAATTTAACTCCTGCAACACTGCACTTGTGCAAAATGTTTTAAGTGTCTTTAAATAATTACTTGGCATTTTAAGAAAATATTTTGGGAGTTCTGGGAAGACTTAACCTTTGGCTACTTGCAAAGTAAGCAAGCAAAACCACCCCCTTTCAGCTTTGAAAGATTGTGGGAACAGAAAGAGAGGGAGAGGAAGTGGTCAGACTGTTCTTTAAGAACCAAGGAGGGATTTAGGTAGATGGAAAGAAAAAACATGAGATGACAGGCTGTTTTGCTCTTATCCTCTTAGTAAACTTCTATCAGGAGACAACCATGTTGGTGGCCTGCTGTAGCATGAGACAGCCACACAATAACAATGACAGGAAAGATGGTTAAGCAGTAATGGAGAGAGAATACCATTCTGAGTTAACCCTCCTGAGATGCCTGCACCACCATGAAGGTTTGAAATAGACCTGGGTCAGCATTAATTTTTATCAAATTAATACACTGCCCACAGTTTTAAAAGCTCAAATATTACTTAAGGTAGATTGGGTTGTTTTTTAGAATTGTTCACTCTTTCCTCTTCCACCTGCATGAGTGCCCAGTCCTCCTACCCCTTGACTTGGGTTTGGCTTTGTTATATGGTTAATGGAATATTAACAAAGACTGATCAAAGCCCTGAAAAGCACTGACTTGATTAGGCTTGCTCTCTTGTAAGTTTGCATTTTAATGGGAAGAGCTCTCCCCCAGGCAAGTTGCTCCTGCTCGTTCAACCTAGATTTCAGAATAACACATGTGGAAAAAACTGCCTTAGCCAACCTGTACCTATACCAGCAGCAGTCACTACAGTCAAATGGAAGATTGTAGTACTCAGGTTTTGTTACACAGCAATAGCTCACTGATACAGCACTAAAAGGTTTAGAATGAAAAACAGCAGTCTTCTGATTCAGTCCTTCTTATCCCTCAGCCTTGCTCTCAAGATGCAAGTATTTTCAACACCTGCGAGTATTTATTCTGGTAATTATCTCTGCTAATCCTGCTATTTCTCAGTTACTGGTTTTAGATATTATGTATTTACTTCTTGGTAGGTATTAACATAATTTTCATTTCACAGATGCACAGGTTGAGGTCCAGACAGGTGAAATGACTATATAAGATCCCTCAATAAGATCCCTCAGAGTCTTGGTCAAATTCAGATATTCTGATGCCAAATTTCACACCCTACCCACCATAGACTCTACCAGTATTAATAAGACGACGACACTCATGATACTCTTAATTTTATAATTCACACTTATTTCTCGTCACACATTCATAGAACAAAGCCAAAAGCATAAACCATTTACCAAAAGTTGCTAGTCTAGTACTAGCACTGAAGACACCTCCTAGTTCAGTCCTTTATTTCCAGGCAGAAAAACCCCATCCTATCCACTACTTTTTTTAGTCAACATTTGACAGGTCTTTTTGCACTGTAGGAAGTACAAAATAAACGACTCTCTCTGTTTTTCCAAAAAGCTTAAAATCGTCAGTTTCTTGAAGCAGTTGAAACATTGAATTAAGAAATACTATTCTGCCTTTTGGAGCTCACAATCCAACAATGGAGAAATAGCGCTGATGTTGGTGAAGGAGTTCAGGGCATGCCGCTTCCAAATATCCACTATAGCATCCTGACCGAGTTAAAGGCATTTGGAAAACAACAGGTGCAAAAAAGACACCCTGATTCCGTTTTTCTTCCTGAGAGCAGAAGATAAAACTTCATGCAAGAACCACTGTTCCAATGCCTGGAGGAAAGAAACAGCGAGGCAGTTGAGTTTGGGAGACTTTGACAAAAAGAACTTTCAGAGTAACTCTTACCTTCCTTTAGTCTCTGCATTTTACTTAATTACTTTTCCACAATTGCTGCTCTCTTCAACCCATTATATAAGCACTTAGGTTTTGCCTCTTCTCTGGGTCTTCATTTCCTTAGGAGGGATCCTGAATCATGTGAAACTTATATTAAGTGAATATATATGCTTTTCTCCTGTTAAGCTTTTTATCAGTGTTAACTGTCAGGCCCAGCCCGAGACCCTAAGAAAGCAGAGGTAATTTTTTTCCTCTATATTAGCAACAGCTACCGGTGGCCACTCCCATCCTGGTCCCAAAAAGCAACTCTCCCTAGAATTAGCCCCGGTCACAAAAAAGGGCAAAGAAACCGCTGCTGGCTTGTTTTTTTCACATCTTGCATCACATCTTACTAAACACACACTCCTTTTCTCTGAATGTATCCTTTTATCTCATTGATAGTATTTATTATAGCATTTTATTGCTTTTTTACCTATTATCTGTCTCTCTCTAAACCTGTGAGTCCGATAGGATCTTCTCGGCTTGCTCACTTCTGAATCCCTAGCCATCTCTTACAGTCTGACACACAGCAGATGCTCAATAAATCCTTCACCCTCTGTTCCTGCCTTTGACTATTGCTACAGATTAGTTATTTTGCACTTTAGAATACTAGTTTACGTGACTTCAACCTATTTCTTACTCCTATTTTAACCTTATTTTCCACGTCAAATTCATTTCACCAGATGGTGAATGGGAAATTTTTAGAGCAGCAGGTAAGTTAACATCATTTTCAAGTTTTCTATTTCACAAAGGCGGGGGGTGGGGTGGGGAGTGTTAAATTGCAGTTAATGGGCACAAGGAAGCCATTGGGGCATTCAATAAATACGTTTTCAACCTCCATTGAAGACTGGGTTCAGGGCACGTCCTTTAGAAGTCCGGCAGAAACGTCAAATTTCCCCTCCGAGCCCCCCGAAAGGTTAGGTCGGCGAGACGAGAAGAGTGGGCGAGCCCTGACATTTCAGGCAGCGCTGGCGCAAGGGGGGAAATTCTGACACCGAGGTCTGTGAGGGGCCCTGGGGTTGGCCTCGCCTCTGCTCCTACCTCGTGTGAAAAGCCTCCCCGGGCGTAGGCCACCCGTTACAACTCCCACGGCCGGCCGACCGGGCGCCGGAAGTGGGCCGGCCACCCGCAGTGACGTCAGGCCCACTTCCGGCGCTCAGAACTGGCCGAGCCGCGCCTCGCCCCAACCTGCGGCGGTTGGCTGGGTCCGCGTTCTCCGTCGGGGCTTGTGCTCGGAGCGCTCCAAGTTTTCCTCCTTTGTGGGCGGCGAGAAGTAGCAAGCGGCCGATCCAGTCAGGTTCGGGTGGCCGCCCCTCAGTTGCCCGGAGGACTTCCGGGGAAGGGTGCAGCCTGCGAGCGCGAGGAAGGAAATCGACCCTCCGCCTTTCGTCCCTGATTGGTCCTGGCGGCCAAAGCCGAGGGATGTGCGCGGGAAGGCGAAGGGGCACTTGTTCCCGGGCCCGGGAGCCCTGGGTGTTTGAAGTTTAAGTCCAGGCCCAGCTGCATTCCGTGTTAATCATGGATGGCATTTTGGGAAACCTGCGTGGAAACAGGGCTAGGCCGTGGGTACCGTTTTTTGTCCCTCTTTTCTTTCGGGTTGTTTGCGGGGATCGCCCCCCTGCTCTGCTGTTACTGGCATTTTAGTTCTTGAAGTGAAAGCAAGATCTAGTTAAGGTTATTAGAAGCTTTAAAAACAGCTTTAATTTGTGAAATGTGAATAGTAATGGCTTCTCATAGGTTGACGGAGACCTAGTGATATCCTTCGTAAAACACCAAACTCAAAGGAATTGAAATGTTGAGTCCTTTGTTGCAATTTCCTATTGTGGATCTTTATTCAAATTGTTTCAATGACGTTTTCAGAGTCCAATAATCTTGGAAACAATGATCCAGGAGCCATGCCAACATTTCAATGGGCAAAGTAATCAGTATTCCACCCGTCGGTACACATATGAATCTAGTTAGACTTTCCTGACCTCCTGCCCATGTTCTTTAACTACCTTCTATCCCTTCCTTTTCTTAAGCCATTTACTCCACCTGGTATTAGGCTGTGGCTGCACACACAGGGAGAACAAAATATTTTGGCAACCTTTTGCATGCCTGAATAATTGTGGATTTGCTGACTTGGCAGTCAGTGCATTCCTATGTAGTGCATTAAAATCAATAGTAGGTACTCTCAGGACATTCAAATCCCCCGACTGGTTCAAACGTCCTGTCTTCCACGTTCCTAGCTCTTACTCTCCCTCACTCATTTTCTCGGATCCTTGAGCGTACCGTGTGCTTTGCCTCTGTCATGCTTTGACAGAAGCAGTTCCCTCTAACTGAAATGCCTACTGCTTCCATACCAGCCTTTCAAGGTATTATCCATTTTGCAAATCCCAGTTACAGTGCCCATCCCTCCAGGACACTTCATATTCCCGTTGCACTTTGTCCTCCTATTCCAGAAGCTATAAGGCTGTGTGACCTTATCTTAGTTGTTCATGTAAGCTTCCTCTCTAGGCTGTGAAGGCTGAATGGTGTCTTATCTGTATATGCCTCCCAAGATAGCAAAACTCATTCAAGAAGCAAGAATTGAATGCCTGTCATGTGTCCAGCACTGTCCTGCGTGCCCAGGGATACAGCAGTAAAAAAAATACTCTCTCTCATGGAGCTTATGTCCTAGTGGGGAGAAGACAGAAAATAAGCAAATGCACAGTAACTACAGGAGCCAGGTGGTAATATGTGCTATGAAGGAAAGGAAAGGAGGAAAAGGTTAAGAAAATTGGAGGGGTGCTCTCGTAGAGAGTGGTCAAGGGAGGCTTTCTTTCTGAAGAGGAAACCTGGCTAGGGCGAGGGAACAAGTCATACAGAAAACGGGAGAAGAGATTTAAATCAAGAGAGCGGTGAAGTGGAGGCCCTGAGGCAGAAGAGTACTTGGTACATCAAAGAACAGTAAGGAAGTCAGGCTAGAGGGGGCTGGCAGGACACCAAGCAGAATAAATGGGCCAGATCGTGTGCACATTGCATTCAATTGATAAAGGGTCGGGAATAATTCAGTAACAGTAGCAATGAAACCTGGAAACTGCTTCAGTGGGATAGGCCCAGTAGGCATACAAAAAGTATTCACAACTTACACACATGTACACTGGAACTCTTTACTTACAGTGCAGCAACATTTATCTGAAAAACTATCTAAATGAAAACCAATGGTTCATGTGATGATCTCCCATCGGGATGGAAAAACCCAGAAGAAGAGGAGGCAGATTTTGTGGAGGAAGAAATGGATTGACATGTGAGTAGAATTATTTGGTAGATTACTGATCGCCCTTAAGAAGTTCAGAAGGAAACAAAATCCATATTCTGATGTTGTCTTGCTTTTTGTTTGGAGGAAAAATACTTGAAAGGTGGTTGAGAAAAGTTGAGTTTATGAAATAATTGGATCCATCTGTGTCCTTACTAATTTTAATAGCACTTTCCTTCCTAAGGTGAGGTCTAGGGGTAGGGAGCCAGGACCCACAGACAGAAGCTGGCTTTCAGCACAGTCATAGCGTCAGGATAATGTTGCTTATCGGGTGATTTTGCTTTGATCACAGCTGAAGATCACAATTGTCGATCCACAAAGAAATGCTCCCCTGAGTGGCATGTGGTGACTATCTCCCTCCAGTGGAATTTTAAAATATAGAACATGTGTGTATTTAATAGTTTTTGTTTACATGCACTTAAACTCTTTTAAATTAATCTAGCTCCCTCCAAAAGTGGCTACAATGGGCTGTTGATTTTGTTCTTCATCACATTTCTCAAAGGTTAAATTGACTGTCATTTCCTTGGCAGTGATTCGTGTAGATGAGCTCAAATGTGGTTTCTTATTCAGCTCTCAAACCACTGAATTGATGGTCTCAGTCTTGGTTGCTGACTCAACATGTCTTTTTATTCATTCACAGGAATGAGTAGTACCTGAGTTAATCATAACTGTTGGCCAAATGTTAAGGTAGCCTTGGAATGAGAAAACCTGTGTTCCATCACCAATTCTCCACTACTTAGATGTGGCAGTATCGTATGGTAAGAAAAATGCGTGCATTAGGATTCCAGCCTGTCTGGGTGTAAGCCTGGTTGCAAAGCAGGAAGCAACTCTTAAGTATTAACTATTATTAAGTATTAGAAAACACTTATTTATCAGTAGTTGCAATCTATTTAAATTTAGTGGTAAAGAACCCATGGGAGAGGAACATAGAAAGTAATATACACAAAAAATGTTCCATTTTGATGAAGATGAGGGATAGAAATTGTATTGATAAGAGTTTTTGCCTTAAGATACAGTGATCGGATCTAATGGAAGGATTCAAAAGAAGAAATAATCCAAGTGAAAATGGCTTTTCTTGGAGTAAGAGCAAATTCTCAGAGCTAAAATTACTTAAGTATGAAGTATCTGTCTCAAAACAATAAATTTATCTTAGTATGAAAGGCAGCAAAGAGGCTTGGTTGCAGGGGTTATGATCCTGGGTCCACAGATGCCCAAGGGGCACAGATAAAATTCAAGTGTCTGAGAACTTTGGGAGGGGATTTCATCTTTTATTTTCACTAACCTCTAACAGAAATCTAGCATTTTCTCCAATCTTGAATTTTAAAATTCCCAAAGCTAAAGGAACAGTACCTGTGGTGTTGCACCAAGAGAAATCTGTTATTTTCATCACATTACAGTTCTGGCAGATATCTAGAAATACCATTTACACCCATGAATAATTTGAAACTGACAGGTATGTGTCCACAGAGAAATCCATAGAGTACCACATGACAAATTGGCTTTTAAAATATATGATAAGTATATTTTGATACAATTGGTTTCTTTTGTAATCCTTAGTATTTTACAAACTTAAGAACATTATTCTGCAAGGGGTCCACGAGCATAGGATCTGCATGACAGAAGGGTCCTTGGCACAGAAAGGTGAAGGGCCCAGGTTAGGGGCGTGGGAACCATTCTCTGCTCTTTATCAGCCAGGCCATGCTGCGAAGGCTACCCTGGACCTCTGTGCCCTGTCCTCATCTGTAAAATAGGAGTGAAAGCTGTTAGAAGGGGTTAATTGAGCAAGCTGTGTAAACACATAGAAACATATTTTAGCGGCTTTCAAGCCCTCAAGAAATGTGAGTCTTTCTCAGAAAAGCATTTTATTGGAAACCAGAGATAGGAACATCATACAGGGTAGGTTGGGGGGTACACGCCAGGATGACTCCCAGAGGAAGAGGGAGAAAAATAACATGATCTCTTCAAGGCCATGAAGAGGTAGGTATACTATGAAACTGGAATTAACAAATTCATTCACTCATTGATTCCATGGGCGTTTCTCAAATGTCTCCTTAACGCAGGCACCTCTCACCAATTTCATCATCTGTGGGACCTGGGCGTAAAAGGGAGCTTCCTACATACACCACATGTCTAAATGTTTAAAAGGGGCAAATCAAGCTAAGGGAGTATTAACTGTGTTCTGTTCTACTTCAACAGAAATCTTCAAAATAACAAAATTATTGTTTTCATGTGACAAAGTTGGAAAAACATAGAGGATGACTGAATTCAATTATTACAGATGCTTGAATATTTTTTGACAGCCTGGAAATATTTGAATGAGTGGTAAAGACACATGATTCATAAACTATTACATATTTGCTCCATAAAATTAACTTTTCTTGTCTTATTGCATTCATGTAATTGAGAATTTCACGATTCAAGTTTTATTTACAGTAGTGACTTAAATGAAATATAAAAATTGAAAAATAAAATATAATTGCACATAAAGTATACAGTATATAATGTAAAATGTAAGTTAAAGTATGTAGAATTTTTTAAATGTGTTTATTTTTAAAAAGTTATTTTTATTCTACAAGTTTCAAAATTAGTTATTGAAGTTAAAAATAATTGATAATATTAAATATCTAAAATTGTTTAAATATACATGAGACTTTTTATTCTTGAAAATTAAATTTTATTAAATATTTTCATAAAAATCCCAGCTGTTTGCAGTTCTTGGGTTCAGTGTCCTTCTAGCTGATTCTAGTAAAGAACCGGTATTACAGTTCCTATGCTTCTTAGCACATAGTGCATATTTAAGAGCAATATGAATTGTTTGATATTGTAAAGCTTTACAGATGATGAAATAGGGCACAGAGGACCTGAGCAGCCTTCGCAGCATCGCCTGGCTGACAAGGAGCAGAGAAAGGTTCAGACTTGGTTGTCTGGCTCCAGAGACCACGCTCCTAACCCGGACCCTTCACCTTTCTGTGCCCAGCACCCTTCTATCATGTGGACCCTATGCTCATGGACCCCTTACAGAATAATGTCCTTAAGTTTTTAAAATATGAAGGATTACAAAGGAAAGCATTGTATCAGACTTCTTGTGTAGCTGTTATGAATCCCATGCTAATTCACAAGGACTTCCAGAACCACGAACAGGAACATAAATAGGATCAGTAAAAATGGCACTTGGGATTTCTGGAACTCACTCTTTCTATAAGGTTCTTGCATAATCTATTGTTATGCCCATTATGCCTGGTACATCCTAGGTATTTGAGAAGGACCTGACTGACTAATTGGTCTTTTCCAGGTCGCAGTATTTCTGCGGCTCACGCTGTCCTGTGCTCTGAGGCAGCGGCCTTTCCCTGGCAGTAGCACAGCTCAGGGACACTGTCACCGTGTGTTTCTGGGAAGCAGAGCAAGAGCTGTGGGGACGTGACAGTGTCATCCCCACAAGTGGTGGAGCTGATGGTAGAGTTGTGTCTTCACCTTCCTCTCTCCCGGAGAGACACCCACTTGTTAACTGTGTTTGACTTGGGGGGCCCTGTCCTGGAGAGAATGTATTTTATTGAACAGTATGTTCAGCTTTATGTGTAACTGCTAAGCGTTTGGACGCATGGCATGCATGCCTCCCTTTGCATTACTGCCTTGGGTGAGGCACGGCAGTCTGTCTGACGCTGGAGGGAAAGAGTTATGGGACATTAACGTACGAGCGGTATCACAGGGAGAGAACCGGGAGAAGGCGGGAGCGATTTTGATGACAAGCTAACATTCCTTCCTCGTCTCTGGTGTCCCATGCATTTTCTGTTTTCCGGTCCCTTTCTACCAAACTCCTCCCCACGCCTCAGGGCTCCCATGGGCATCACAAGCCTCATATATCTGAGTGACTACTGTCTTGACAGGGTAGATGCTGGGGGTAGGTGTGGGGACACCGAATCTTGAACAAATAGATCTTTTGGGAAGTAACAGGTATATGTCACAAACAGTTCACAGAGAGAGTGCTTCTGAGACATGCCTGGGTGGGCAGGAGCATACTTTATAGGAAGCTTACCTTGAGGGTTTGTTTTTCTTTCTTTTCTAAATCTTTACCTTGTTTAGAGTAAGTTGAGCCTTCGTATTGTTTAGTCTCAAAGCATACTCACTTGAGACCCAATATTAGATCCATAATCAATCAATACAAAACGAAATCTATTCTTGGGCTCAGAATCAGATGTTTAGATGTGACGAAACAGGTATTACTAATACTGCTCAAAGGTTGTTGTACTATTGGTGTCATCTTGAATTCTGTTTGGGAAGTCTTCATGGAAAAGTCGAATTTTTTGTTGCATTTGAAAGATCAGAAGGCTAAATTGGATAGCAATGTGATATGCATTTTATAACCAATAAAAATCATACTAAAAGAGTATTACACCTTCCATTAGCTTAGATAGTATGTGCATTCAGTTACCTATAGAATTTGCCTTAGCTTCTTATGATGATTTTATCAAATAACATAAAACATATCAAACAACATAACATGATCAAGCTGTGCATAGCCTTCAGTAGAATAATTCCGCAGTGGTTGATTTCATTTAACCGTGGGCTGGTAACGCTAATCTTGAGAATCCCAGTAAAGGCTTTTCTGTCACTAGCCCATCTTGAAAAAGTGAGCTAATTCCTGTGCTGGGAAACTGCATACGTCACTTTCAGGGGAGATGATACCTCTGCCCACAGAACGTCCAAACTGTGTATTAGTAAGAAGCAATTCGTTAAATGAAAATATAGCCCACTTAAATGTCACGCTTCAGTGTTCAACACAGCACTGCATGTAGGTGAGGAGGCCACAGGGTCAGGTCATGACTTTGAGAATGTCAGGTGATCAGCAGTGTGATGTTCATGGTCTGATACCCCCACGGCGGGCCGGCTCTGCTGAAGTCAGGGCAGGAGATCCCACAACTATCACGGGTAAAGTGACCCTCAAAATTTGAGAACAAGTTCTGCAGACAGCTCATGCATTTTCCCCCTCTTTTGCTACACTGATGATCAGAGTTAGAGGCCAGGGAAGGAAGGGTACATGTTCATGTTTCATTTAATCCTCACTAAATGGGGATGAGATACAGTGTTACTGTATCTATAAGGCATGGTTGGAGAAACGGAGACTTGGAAGGTTAATAAATTTGCCCAGGGTCACATGACCATCAGTAGCAGAGCCTAGATTGGATCCAAGTCAGTCTGATAGCAAAGGATGGGCTTTTAACTGTGTGCCACACTCTGATGCTCTCATTGCATGGCATGGAGATGATGAAATTAGGCTAAACGTAGCAAATCAAATCCACAATGAGATACCACTTTGCACCTACCAGGATAGCTATAACTAAAAAAAATTTTTTTTTGATTAAAATATATGGTAAAATAACAAGTCTTAGCAAAGATGTGGAGTAATTGGAATCTTATACATTGCTGATGGGGATGTAAAATGGTGCAGCTGCTGTGGAAAGCAGTCTGACGGTTCCTCAAAAGGTGAAACAGAATCACCATGCAATGCGGCAATTTCACACCTGGTGTACACCCAAGAGAACTGAAAACATATGTCCACACAAATATTTACACACGAATATTTATAGCATCATTATTCATAATAGTGCAAAAGTGGAAACAACTTTAATGTCCATCAGTTGATGAGTGGATAAACAAAATGTGGAGTACCTGTATAATGGAATATTATACAGCTATAAAAAAGGAATGAAGTCCTGATATATGCTACAACATGAGTAAACCTTGAAAACCTTATGCTAAGTGAAAGCAGCCTGATACATTGTGTGATTCCATACATATGAAATGTCAAGAATAGGCAAATTCATACAGACAGGAAGTAGATTAGTGTTTACCAGGGGTGGGGTGGATGGGGAAAGGGAATGACTGCTACTGGGCATGGGATTTCTTTTTAAACAGATGAAAATGTTCTGGAATAATATACTGGTGATGGCTGTACAATTTAGTGAATATATTAAAATCCACTGAAATGGACACTTTAAAATGATGAAATTTATGTCCTGCAAACTACATCTTAACTTTTTTAAAAGGCAGCTTCAGGTCACATCTGGGAGACCCTCACATACTGGACTATAGGGTCCACTGAACATTTCCAAGGCCGATGATGGTGATATGAGTCATGGAAACATGTAAATAGCACACAGCAAGTGTTTGATAAATATTAGCTCCCTTCTCCTCTCCCTTCATCCCCCAACTCAAGCCCAGGCCGCCACATCTCCTCTGGGAAAAGAGCTCCTTTCTGTTTGGATACTAATGGAAAACCAACTGTTGTGGTTAAAACCATTCTCGCTATTAGTTTTCCTGGGTGTCTCCCCGAGGGTTCCTAGCCATTCAGGGCTGCGTGGCCTCATCTCACAGCATCTGCAGAGCATCCCCCTCTCTTTCTCCTTCTCTTCCCCAAACTTGTCCTCCTCTTCTTTTTCCCTTTTTTTTTTTAACATTTGAAATAATGATTTTCTAAAAGGCCCTCATAGATCTCAAGTTTGCCCAACGAAGTCATGCCGCCATGTAACCCTGTGCTTTCCTTGCCTCCAGGTATTTCTCCCTCCCTCTTCCCCTGTCTCACCCACAGAGCAAGGAGCACGGGAAGGAGGAGTCGGGGCATCCCGGGTTCTCCTCCCAGCTCCCCAGCCTGCCGACTGTCTGCCTGGGTTCTCTACCCTCAGTATTCTCACTCGCACAGTGTCGTTCCAGCCATCATCAGCCTCATCACCACCATCATCCTTTATTCCTAGGGTGCGTGGAGAGCAGTATTGTCAAAGCGCCTCTCGGAAGCCTGCTGCGTCAGCCTCACTCGGTGAATGACAGCCACGACATCACTAAACAGAGGTGGGGGTAGTGTATGGTCAAGTGCTAATATTTAAGTAGGTTTCATCCCTCCAATCTCTAATATTTTAAGGACATATTAAGAGCTTTGATATAGAATACCACTGTAAGTGGCAAAATCCTTTTCCCAAAGCCATCCGAGAAATATCCTAACAGTAGGAGCTGCTTCCAAGGAACCGTTTAAAATGCCATTTCAAGTGGGGACAGGGGCTCTAGGGGATTTTGGGGTCAGCAAATATCAAATAAGCCACCTCCCAGAGCTGCGGTGGGGCTTTCCCGCGAGGCCCCGCCCCCGGCTGAGTCACAGGAGCTCCTGTGTTTGACCTGCAGCCCTCCTGCTGCAGAACCTCGCTGCTCTGAAGACCGAGGTGTGGGAAATTCTCCAGCAGCCCCGAAATCTCAAGGTTTGTCCACGTGGGGCGGATGGTGGGGGCAGCAGAGTTGGGATGAGGATGGAAACTTTGTTCCCTTTTACATTTCCAGATGTGTTCCCTATCTGATTTCTTATAACTTTTTTTCCATAGCCCTTTACATAAAGATTGAGAACCCGAGCCAAAAAGAGGTCTTTACTCCTTAGTTCTGTTACTATGTGAGCTTCAGATCAAAATGGGCAAATACTTATCTATTAGGAAGATGTGATAAGGAGTTGAGCAGAGAGTTATCTCAGCATTTTAACAATTAGGTACTGAAATTTCCACATGCTGTTCAAAGGGGGAAGAGCATAATGAGATATCTTTTCATTGAGCTGAACTGTTAGATGCCACTGACAGCTTCTATTTGGAAGGACTGTGTTTCAGAGGCAGCAAGCAACTGGCATGGTTGTAATCTGAACACTAGCGCCAAGTATCTATGGAAGTCCCCAAAAGTTCTTGCTGTTGTTATTTCTGCATTTTGGCGAAACATGCTGGAAAGTGCGTTCTTAGACTTTGGCAAACCTGCACAAAGCTGTGTGTTTAGTCATGCTTGTCTTATCACAGAAGTCCTATGCACTTGCTATCTTTTCCATGATATTCCCTCATTAGTTGCTCCTGGAAAACCCCAGGTTATAATCTTGTGTAATTGTATGGGTAATGGCTGAAATGTAGATAGTTCTGAAAGGAGAAACCCCTCATTCTTGGAAATATGTACCTTTGCAGAGTGGTATTTGTGAGACCAGCTCCTTTGAATATAATTCTTTTGGAATCTGCTTTGCTCCTATCATATCTATGCAAGATCTCATCATGGGAAATGGCTATTGCAACATCGTGGCTACTGTGCTGTTGGTCATGAATTTGGAGAGGGCAAGATCAATACAGGATTCCTGTAGTAGCTGTCCAGCTGGTAAGAACCAAATTAACACGTGTGTTTCATCTGTTCAGCTGAAAACACGTTTCAGGTAGTCCAGTAGTCAGAGCCGACCGGCTCTGCTGTAACGACCTTCTGCGCACTCACTTACAGACATCTCTTGGATGCTGCATCTCAGCTGTGCGAATGTACCCATGTTACTTACTCCGTGTGCCCAGCTTTGTCATCTGGGGGTACTGAGTGAGCCTGTCTCACTATTGCTGGCAGGATCATATGGTGGGAGATCTGAACAGTGCATGGCACATGGCAAGTCCTCAATAAATGTGAACTTTGTGTGTGAGGACCTGTCCTCAGACTGGGGACACAGCAGGGAATAAGCAGGTGACAGGAGGCTTACAGAGTGGGGGAAGGCAGACACATGTGAATTTTATGTACCAAGGAAGGGCACTGAGCTCCTGAATTCAGTCATATTGATCTCTTGGATCAATCAAGAGAGATCATTGTTTTATTCAATAGATGGAAGACACTATTTTCATTCTGTATGTGTTGTTATATCTATACTTCATTGTTTTTAATTTTGTGATTATGCTAAGGGCACTCTTGCAAATGTGTAATTTTAAAAAGTCAATCAACAAAACAAAGCCCATCACCATGGCACCTAGAAACTAATTGTTTCATATTCTAGTTTTCTTGTGAACTTCATATCACCTTGGGTGATAATTGTTCATTGTTAAACATGTACAGTTATTATCTACCTTTCTTAGGTACTTTCTGTGACCAAAGCAAGGATCAGATGTGTATTCCCTGTCCTTCAAATAGTTTCTCCAGCGAAAGTGGACAGAAGGCCTGTGACATTTGCAGGCAGTGTGAAGGTATGACCTAAAAGATGTGTTCTTCACCCAGATACATGTTGAGAAGACACGCTTTTTATTCCCTCATGTCCCGATCTCTGCTGAAAGTCTTAAGCGTCAGATATGCTGGTTCCTCTGTTAATAAGCAGGTCCAGTGAAATAATTTGCTGTAACAGCAGTCATTTGTGGATTGAGCTTTTTAAATATTAGAAGAAACATTCCTTTGACAAGAGAGAGATTTTTTAATTAGCAAAGTGTAAAACTGTCTTCTATAAGGATTGAAGAGTAAACGTTATACTCTAAAGTCATAAGGAACATGATAAGTGGAGTGAGCATGCTTTTTATTACAGAACATAAATTTGCTTCCTGGATTCACAGGCCAAGTGTAAAGTAACATTAGGGAACTCTGCAGGTGTTTTCAGGACGAAGAAGGTGTGCTCCTCCACCAGCAATGCCAAGTGTGAGTGTGTGTCCGGATTCCACTGCTTGGGGGCAGGATGCACCATGTGTGAACAGGATTGTAAACAAGGTCAAGAGTTAACCAAAGAGGGTAGGTTTGCTCTTCTTCAATATAGTGCAAATTTGTAACCGGCCATATATCATTAACTTAGGTCTTGGTCCTTTGACTATAAAGTAGAACATAGCTTTGTAGAACCTTAAAATAACAAGTAATGGACTACTGAGTCGAGTACGTGATATTTACAAAATCATTTTCAATCAAAGGAAATAATGTGAAGTCACAACATTGATTATTCACCAGGACCATGCATTTTCATTCATACTTCATTCATACATATACCATACAATACGCTGTGTATGATTAGAATAAAAACTTTACTCACCTTAGGGTCTCATTTCAAGAATTGTTAAATAATCTGTGTAGATTGTGTTATCGTCATCACATAATATTCAAGAATTGTTGAACAGACTGCATTAAGTTTATTATTATGTGATTATGTTTATCACAGGGAAAGTTATGAGATAATTAAATGCTTCCTTTTTTATTATTGTTTTAACTTTTATGCAAGGTTGTAAAGACTGTTACTTTGGGACATTTAATGATCAGAAACGTGGCATCTGTCAACCCTGGACAGAGTATGTATAATTTCCTTTGCTTACCAATAAAGAATCTGGGTTAACTTTTTTAAAGACAAGGAATGTTATGATTGAAACTTTTTAAAATCTATCACTTTTAGACATGGAATAACATACTAACAGGTATTGTGCGAACAGTGTGAGGTAACACTGACCTGATATGCAAAGTGTATGCAGATCATTTAGAGCAGATTTAGAGTATTTAGATCAGATCTGCAGGGGGAACTGCGCTACTATTGGCCCCAGCTGTTCTGTTCCATTTCCTTCTGATCTTGCTGCTGCCCTGCCTCTTACCTTCTCTCACCGATGCGCTCATCCTCAAGGGTGCAATGCCAGAGAGTGGTGTAGAAGAAGGGTAAAGCATGTCCTACCCTAAAAAAAGTAATATACACTTGGGCAAATAAGATCATCACAGGTGCTAAAACAGCCAACAGCCTACATGGAAATATTCCTGTTGATTTGTGTGATCTGGACGAGAGCTACTCAAAGTGTGGTCTGCAGACAGGTGCTGGCCCAGGAACGGCTTGTTGTCTGTCCAGGGCGAGAGCACAACAGCCATTAAGAGTGAGCATTTAGGGATGTGTGAGACGAACTGGCAGTCAGGCATATCTGTGAAATCTAATTATGAAGATTTAAATCTTGTATTTTGTACGTGATTTCTTTTCTCATGTGATTTTCTTAATAGAAAATCATTATTATTATTTATTTACATTTACATTCTTATGCTTTAAAATGTTTTGGTTCATAACAGGTTGGAGAGGTTTTTTTTAAGCCATTTCAACACAGATAGTTCAGGGCAGTCAAGTGAGTCTACATGGAAACTGGGATTGAGCTGAGCTTTGGAGGAGGAGTGGGTTTTGGTTACGTAAAGGGACAAGGGGAAAAACAGGAACATTGATGATGACAACAATGGTGATGATGATGATGGTAATGGCACTGATGATGGTGAGGAGGATGGTGATGTCAGTGATGGGATGGTGAGGTGGTGAGGATGGTGATGGTGGTGAGGATGGTGAGGATGGTGGTGAGGACGGTGGTGAGGATGGTGGTGAGGATGGTGAGGATGGTGGTGAGGATGGTGATGGTGGTGAGGATGGTGAGGATGGTGGTGAGGACGGTGGTGAGGACGGTGGTGAGAATGGTGAGGATGGTGGTGAGGATGAGGATGGTGAGGTTGGTGAGGATGGTGATGGTGAGGAGGAGGATGGAGATGACCAATGGTGGTGAGGATGGTGAAAGCTACCATTTACTAGGATGTGTGGGTCTGGGTTCATAAAGTCAGGCATGTAAAAGTATGTCATTGAGCCCATTCATTTGCTCTTTTCAATAGTCCTGGGAGAATGTATATCTTATTTTGTAGATGAGAAAACTGAGGCTTAGAGAGGTTTCCCTACTTCCCCAAGGTCATTTAGCAAAGGGACAGACCCGTGGCTCAAACCCTGGTCTGTTTGATGCCAGCGCATCACAGGATTAGGAACTCCTAACCCTTGTGTCAAGTTGTTTGTCCTTTGAAGTACCAGAGATGGTCAAACATGCTTAAGAAGTTGGGGGGAGAGACTAAGCAGGCAAAACAGTCTGAACTAAGTTGTTGTGGGACAAGGCTCCCCAGCCTGGGAAGACAGAAGAGCGCAGTCAAGTGGGTGGAGTGGGGTGCATTGCAGAGGGCTGTGAAAGCTGGACGAAGCCAGATGGTCAAGTAGAGGTTTTTCAAAATATCTTCATGAACCCAGGCTCACACATCCTTGTCACCTGGCTGATTTATTGGGTGGAACATGTCAGTGTTTTTAATTAGAACGATCTGAACCAAAATTAATGATTTGAACTCTTTTCATTGGCTAAGCTGTTCTTTGGATGGGAAGTCTGTGCTTGTGAACGGGACGAAGGAAAGTGATGTGGTGTGCGGGCCAACTTCAGCTGACTTCTCTCCAGGTACATCGTCCACCACCGCACCTGCCCTGGCAAGACAGCCAGGTAGCTGGATTCTTGCTGTCACATCAACGCGAATGTATCGTGGCTATTCTGCCTGGAATCTGAATCACCTGGACGTTGTGATGTCTCATGTGTCTGCCTGCAACAGGCACCCCCAGCATGTCACCCTTTTTTTTACCCTGGCATCAAGGAACCCATCAATTTTTTCAGGTGTTTGTCATTCAGTCTAAGATACACATTAGTAAGCAGTGCGAGGTGAGACTTGACCCAAACAGATACCACACCTCTGATAATGACAAGTAAAAAGGATTATGGAGTCCCATGTTTTCTATATACTAGAAAGGTCAAACCGCTTAACTTTTGTGGACATCTAAGGAAATTATTAAGGTTTTTTTATAAGAAGTTTTTTTTCAACATGCAGGCAGGTTTATTAAGTTGTTTAGAGATGTCCAAGGCACCACCTTTCCTTGTAATTTGAAGATTATGAATGTAAATGCAATTATATTTGCAAAACCAAATCTCTGCATGCTTTTCTCCTTTTGCTCTTTCTTAAAGGTCACAGCCCCCAGATCATCATCTTCTTTCTCGCACTGACATCGACTGCAGCCTTGCTTCTGGTGTTCTTCCTCAAGCTTCGTCGCTCTGTCGCTAAACAGGGCTGGAAGAAACTCCTGTATATGTTGAAACAACGTAAGACTAATATAAATGTATTAGATAAGGGCTCTTTTAATGCAAGGCTTTTAATGGTAGAGAGGAAAAGATTTTTTTTTTATGTTGTAGAAACTAGGTCGATATAACTCAGTGGTTATCAAGTAGGGGCAGTTTTACCCTCAACGGAACATTTGGCAGTGTCTGGACAAGTTTAGGCGATCACACCTCGATTGTGGGGATGAAGCCCTCCTGGCGTCCAGTGAGAGGAGGTCAGCAATGCCGCTGAACATCCTGATACGCACAGGGACAGCCCCACAACAAAGTCACCCACCCTCAAATGTTAATTGTGTCAAGGTGGACAAAGCTGCTAACAGCAGAACATGATCCAAGGGTTCCGGAAAAATGAAAATGTAAATTTTTGTAGTCTTGGATAACTCTGTGTGTGCACATGTGTGCGTGCGTGTGTGTGTGTGTGTGTGAAGCCAGTCAGTTGTGTGTACAGGGCACTGGCAAAGAGGGATCAGAAAATAATGTCTGGCCCATCTAGCACTGCTCCTCCGACTGATAAATGACTTTAACCTAAGCTAGGCTCAAACTTAAGGAAGGCATAAAGAAGTAGGAAGACATTTAACACAATGGGTTATCATGACCCCAATCTTAATTACATAACAAATTTCAATAATGGAGTCAATTCATTAAATAGGATATTATCTCTATAAGGAAGTCAGCAAGTGCCTGGCACACAGCACTCACTAAGTGAAAGCTATTAACATTTATTCAAAAAAGTTTCTAAGTAGGGGCAACCTGTTTTTTGTCTACACAGAGGACAGAACCATAGGTAACAGGCTAGAATTAGTAAGAGGCATTCATATGTCGTAGGCGCACTTGGAGAGCTCGGGATATAACCCGAAACAGAATAAAACTAGAGGGTACCTATTGAGGGGTTGTTAAAAATATATGAGGGAAGGTATTAATAAAGGCTTATCTGAAGACACACTACACTAATTTGTATAAAGATTCTTTTGAAAACAATTTTACAGTGGTTTGAAACAATATGAAAACCTTTTTACATTATCAAATAAACAGAAAAAAGGCATACATGTAAAGCTCAACAAATTGTTGTAAAATGAACATCTGCATAACCTTACGTCCAGAAATAGAACATTAACTGCTCTGCGGAAACCCTTCGTGTACACTTTCCAGATGAAAACCCTCCCTCCCCACTAGTGCTAACCACATCTAGATTTTTATGGTATTCATTTCCTTGATCTTATTTATAGTTCGGATACGTAACAACACAGTTTAATTTGGCTGCTTGAGAACTTCATGCAAGCGGAATCACACTGTGTCTATTCTGCATTTCCCTTCTTTCATCCAGCTTCATATCTTTGTGATTCACCCATGTGTTGCATTGATCTTCAGCTCATTTCTGCTGCTTAATACTCTTTCATTGAACGACTATCATAGTTTGTTTACCTGTCCTAATATTGATGGACACTTGGGTTGTTTCCAGTTTGGGGCTATTACAGACAATTTATGTTTAAATATTTTTGTCTGCACGTTTCAGTCTACGTAAGCATGTGCTCCATTTTTTTTTAACCTAGGAATAAAATTGCTCGAATATGAGGAACATATATCTAGGTCCTTAGTAGATATACCAAGCTGTTTTCCAGAATGGTGGGGCCCCATTTATACTCCCCAGCAGTGTATAAGAGTTCCTTTTACCCTGAATCCTTCTGCTGTTTGGTATTATCAGACTTCTTAATTTTTATTTATCTTGTGGGTAGGTAGTAGTAACTCATTGTGGTTTTAATTTGCATTTCCCTGATCACTAGTGAGATTAGACATCTTTTCACCTTATATTGGTCCTTTGGGTTTCCTCTTTTGCAAAGTGCCTGATCAAGCCTTTTGAGCATTTTTCCATTGTGTCGCCTGTCCTTTTCTTATGAATCTATAGGAATTCTTTAGTCTGTTGTTCATGTGCTGCAAATATCTTCCCTCTCTGTGGTTTGCTCTTTGATTCTCTTTTTGAGATCTAAAGCTCTGATCTAAACCTTTAAGCTCCCACCTAAGCTTCTGATTTAAAGAACTCTCTCTCCTATCTTCACCCTAGACTACAATAATGTTCTTTATAAAATGCTTATCAAAGTATTAATGAGTAATTAGTAAGTTGCAAATGGAACTGTAATTCATTCAAAATGTTTTAGGTCTTTTTAAAAACATTCTATTTTGAAATAATTATATTCACAGGAAGTTGTAAAGACGCTGCAGAAAAAAGTCTCATGTGCCATTCATGTGGGTGCATCTTACGTAACTATGTGCAACATCAAAACCAGGCATTTGACATTGGCATACTGTGTGTCTGTGGCCGTATGTCATTCATCCCGTGTGCAGATTGATGTAACAACCAGCACAATCAAAATACAGAACCGTTCTGTCACCACTGAGATCTGCATCCTGCTAGCGCTTTAGAGTTACATCCTCCCCCTGCTCCCCTTCTATCCCCAACTTCCAGTAATCATGAATCCATTTCCATCTCTACAATTTTGTCATTTCAAGAATTTATATACATGGAATCATACCATGTATAAATTAGATCATAAATATGTGACCTTTTAGGATTGGCTTTTTTCACTCAGCTTAATGCCATTGAGATCCATCCAAGTTGTGTTTTAGTAGTTCACTCATATTTTATTGCTGATGAGTATTCCACAGTTACCACAATTTGTTTGACCGTTCACCTATTGCAAGACATTTTGGTTGTTTACATTTTTTGACTATTGTATATAAAGCTGCTATGAATAATCATGTACAGATTTTGCATGGACATAAGTTCTCATATCAAATGTCCAGGAGTACAATTGCTGGGTCATATAGTAAGAGTATGTTGAGTTTTTTAAGAAACTGCCAAACTATTTTCCAGAGGGTTGTACCGTTTAACATTCCACCAGCAATGTATGAGAGGTCCAGTTTCTCCTCACCTTTGCCAGCATTTTATTTTGCCAGTTTCTTACCCAGCTGTTCTAATAAGGATGTAGTGTTGGCTCATTGTGGTCTTCATTTGCTTTTCCCTAAAGGATCTTTTCATGTATTTATTTTCCATCCACATATCTTCTTTAGCAAAATGTTCATTCATATCTTTTGCCCATTTTCTCATTACAATGTTTTAATCAGAAAAAGGACTGTTTGTTTTACTGTTGATATTTGAGAGTTCTTTACATCTTCTAGATATGAGTCCTTTGTCAGATATGTGGTATCTAAGTATTTTCTTCCAATCTGTAGCTTGCCCTTTCATCCTCTTCACAAGATCTTCCCCAAGTCAACTGGGATTCGGACAGCACTTGTTAAGCATGTGTATCAATTTGGGAAGAATCGACATGTTTACTGTGTTAATTATTCCAATCCACAAACATAGTATGTCTCTCCAATTTATGTTTATTTTCTTTGATTTCTGTCATTATCATTTTCTAGTTTTCAGCATACAAATCCTGTATATGTGTTGTTAAATTTATGTCTCAGTATTTACACTTTTTTTAATAGTCACAAATGATACTGTATCATAAATTTTGGTTTCAACACGTTCATTGCTAGTATATAGGAGTACAAATGATTTTTGTAGATTGACTTTGTATCTGTGATTTTGCTGAACTCACTTATTAGTTCTACAAATATTTTGTAGATTCTTTGGGATTTTCTACATAGACCATAATGTCATCTGCAAATAGGAGCAGTTTTATTGTTTTACTTTCCGATCAGTATGCCTTTTATTTATTTTTCTTGCTTTATTGTACTAACTTCCAGTGCTATGCTGGATAAGTATGGTGAGCATGAGCATCCTCACCTCGCCCCTAATATTAGAAGGGAAGGCATTCAGTTTTTCACCAGTAAGTATGGTGTGGGCTATAGACTTTCGGTGGAACTTTTTAATCAAGTTGAGGAAGTTCCTCCTCAATTTCTAGCTCTCTGAGAATTTCTTTTATGAGTGTTGAATTTTGCCAAATACTTTCTCTGCATTAATTGATATGATCATGTGGTTTTTCTTCATTAGCTTAAGACAATGGTTTACATGGATTCGTTTTTGAATAATGAACCAGTCTTGCATTCCTGGACTAAACTCCACTTGGTCATATAATATAATTATTTTTATATATTGCTTAATTCTATTTGCTAAGAATTTTTGCAGCCATATTCATGAGGGATATTGGTCTTTAGTTTTCCTTCCTAGTAGTGTCTTTGTACTAGAATCAGGGTAATACTGGCTTCCTCAAATAAGTTAGAACATGTTCCCTCTTTGTATTTTCTGGAATAGACTGTGTATGACTGGTATTACTTCTCCTTTAAATAGTTGGTAGAATTCCTTAGTGAGACTACCTGGAACTGAAGAGTTCTTTTTGGAAGGTTTTGATGATAAATTTAATTTCCTTACTGTTTGTAGGACTATTCAAATTATTTAATTCATATTGAGTGAGTTGTGGTACTTTGTGTGTTTTGAGGAATTGGTCCATTTTATCTAAATTTCCAAATGTGTGTGTTTAAGTTATTCCTTGTATTATCCTTTTGTTGTTTCCAGGGCCTGTAGTGACATCACCTACTGACATGGGGAATGTGTCTCTCGTCTTCTTTCTTTTCTCTGTATTAGTCTGGGTAGAGATTTGTCAATTTTATCAATCTTTTTACAGAACCAACTCTTTGTTTCATTGGTTTTTCTTTGTTTTTCTGTTTTTAATTTCACTAATTTCTGCCCCTATCTTTATTATTTCATTCCTTCCACTTCCTTTGGATTTAACTCGCTCCTCTTTTTCTATTGAAGGGGAAACTTACATTATTAATTTGAGACTTTATAAGAGTTTCATATTATGAATTTCCTTGTAAGTACTGAATTAGCTGTGTCCAACAAATTTTGATGTTTTTTTTTTCATTTTGTTTCAATTTAATATTTTTTTTGCACTTCCCTTGAGACTTCCTCTTTAGCCCATTGACTATTTAAAAGTATATTTTTTAGTTTCCAACTGTCTGGTAATTTGTCTGTTGCTTTTCTG